ACGGGGGAGCGCTTCTGGGATCGATTTATCGCGTCCAGATGAGATGCGATAAATCGATCCCAGAAAATCGATCTCTACCCACCGAATCGGGCGGGTAGTGTGGACCTAGCCGTAGCTATGTTGTATGCAGAGGCAGCAGTGGCTCTCTTCTGGTTTAATCTTGAGCCTGGGAGGAGGAGAGGGGAACGGATCTCTTTTCCGTGGCTATAATCCAAGCTTTTCCTCTCTCCCTATTGATTTGTGGCTTTTAGTTAGAAAGCGCTACTACTGGGCATAGACTGACCAGCACAGTGCCAGTACTGGATGTGCTAGCTGACTAGCAGTACATCGGTTGCTAAAAGTGAGCAAGTCTAAGCAGAACTGGGAACCATTCCATGCCGCTAAATACTGGATACTCTTTCAGGTGGTTCTCAAAGCAACGTTTTCCTTCTCAAGTCAAAAACCAGTCTTTACCATATGTGCTCAAGCCAGCTGTGAGTCTACATCTGCCGGGGAAGGTCACAAAACCCAGCAGCACCAAAACCACGTTGAGCGTATTCTTCCTCTGTAGGGACATTGGAGGAGATGGGATGTGTGGGATCAGAGCTATCACTGCCAAAAGCACACCAAACCTGTTGGTGATTCTGCAGCTATATTGACTTGACGTTGTTTTACTGTGTGATGATTACTGTGTCTGATTTTATTTGCTGTACATGTACAAATGGGATGAGTTTTGTTTTTAAACCACAAGTTAAGCTACAGTGCACCAAATTGCAGTTTCACAATATTGTTTTGCAAACAGGCCAGATCACCGATGGATGTAAATCGGCATAGCTCTATTGAAGTCAGTGGCGTTATGCTGACTTGCACCATTGGGGGTTCTGGCCCCATATCTGAAGCGCACTTGTTGCTTCCTTGCTGAAGGGTCACTGAAATGAAGCTGACGCACCTTAGCCTTCCTTTGGGCCATAGTAGATTTAGCAGGGTTTCCTTATAATAGTATGGAAGTGGGAACTGTTAGTTACCAGCTAGCTGCCTTCCCTTTCTTTGGATGTTTGTGCGCTCGGCAAGGTGGATGCTTGGATGTAGACCTGAAAGCACATCTTCTGGATACTGTGAATTTTGTTTTCCCTGTTGCCTCGAAAAGTGCATTTTGTTAAGGGTTCTGTTTGAATAGTTTTCAGACCGAATGTGTTACAAAGTGTGTAGTCTATGTTGACCAAAAAACCTGAATTACAATTTATTGGGGATATAATATCCTTACTGAAACCCTATTAAGATGTGTAATATATACAAAGCTTGAGATACTTACCTTTATTCAGTGGCTAAGAGTTATAGGGAGTCTAAGTGGAAATCCCCTTGTGTCAAAGGAAAGCCACAATGAACATTATACAGTTCGGAGATTTATTTTTATTCTGTAGCAAATATAAGAGTAGTATTTCAGAAGCATGAGCTTCTTTTTTGTACTTTTGCTTAAGGGTATGATTTTTGTCCCATGAAATAGTTATACTGGTGCAATGCCTAGTGTCGATGCAGGTATACCAGTATAAAGGTACCTTAGACTGGTGTATCTTATTCCTCTTCCCATAGATGCTTACACCAGTGTAACTGTGTCTACACTAGGGGTGTGTGTTCACTACGAACGTCAAAGCGTTGCCGCAGCAGTGCTTTAATGTGGCTGTGTAGTCGCGGCCCCAGCGCTGGGAGAGAAAAAACCACTCCCATGAGGGGAGTAGCTACCGCGGCTCCCTGCACTGGTGCACTGTCTACGTTACCGCTTTACAGCGCTGAAACTTGTTTTTTTCACACCTCTGAGCGAGAAAGTTTCAGCGCTGTAAAGTGGCCGTGTAGACAAGGCCTCGGAGGGTTGTATAGCTATATATCAGTATAGTTAGAGTGGTACAGACAAGCCCTAATTCAATCAGAGCTGCCGTTTTATTGACATTTCCCAACAGGAAGTCTGTTCTCATGCCTTAGTTGCCAAGACAGGACCCAAAGTATTTCAATAAAATACCTAGCTCTTGTATAGCTCTTTTGATCTATAGATCTCAATGCGCTTTAAAAGGAAGTCACCATTTTACAGCTGGGAAGCTAATAAAGGCACCAGAAAGTTAGCCGCCTAAATCCAGAATTAGGCACCTTAAATCAGTGCCCTGATTTTTCGGAGCTGCTGAACACCTGGATCTCCTGTTGACTAGATTGTCAGTTGAGATACTCCACATCTCTGAAACTCTGGCTCTTTAGAGCGGGGCCCCCTTTTGGAGCCCAGGCTGGAAAGTGTTGGCCAGGGAGGATAGCTGAACATATGAAAAGCAGCACAGTTGCCTGACATCCCGTTACTAAAAAATAATTGCTTAATGTTATGCATGTTAAACTACTATTAATACATTTTAAAATAATACAACTGCTTTGAAAATGACTCCTGGTCCCGTACATTCCCTGTGTCCCAAACTGTCATTCAGCTTTCAAGGTGGCAGCTTCCTCATTCATTCTTAACTGTTTGTATTCAGACTGTTTACAAATTATTGGTGATGACCTTTCCCTCTAATAATAATAAAGTGCTGTAAGAGCTAAGGTGCTGTGCAAGCAGGAATCCTTCCAATACCCCCATGTACCTATCTGAGAAGGTGCTTGAAGGTGGCTGAAATATTGTGTGGGTAGCAGGAACGTTTTATGCTCTTGAATAACAATAGAAAGACCGATTCCCTTCCAGAAAAGGTAATTTCTTACTAAATCCCCTAAGCACTCTTCCCCTGTTTTGCACCTAAATGTATTTTCATCCAGGAAAAGTGAAATATCTATGGAATACATGCTCCCTACTTGTAGCATAAAGCTCACCAAAATATTCTATTTATATTTGCACTATTTTACGATGCTTTGGTCGAACTAAATTAATGACTTGTTTGTGTCCCATGCAAAATAAACTTGACACTTGAAATCTTGTGATAGGGTAACTTAGAAGGTTTAGTTTTTAATTTGTACTGTGTTTCGGCAAAGCTTAAATAAAACCTTTGTTACCAGTATAGCAACCTCATTTATTTCACTTTGTGTGTGTACATGTGCAGCTTAACAGATCAATAAGAAATCTTCAGCAGCTCAAGACCTCCTTGTTTTGTATGAGTAACTTATTTGCTTGTGACTGTGGGAAACTGAGTGAGAAGATCTTGGATACAATTGGACTGGACTAGAGCAAAGTGTAGAAAAAGCACCCTGAGACTTTCTATGGTACAGAGTACCATTTAGATAACTGAGGTGATTATGGCTGGTTAGGGCAGGGATTCACATCTCAAATTGGTAACTTTGTTGAATACTGTGGAGTTATACCAGTGTAA